GATCACTAAAGGTTAGTCGGCGATATGAAAACCGATGTGTAAGTTTGTGTGGCCTAACTTGAAAAGAGTGATGGTTTGTGATTTTAACAGTAAGTAGATTCATGGCTTCAAATATGAGTAGATTTATGATTTTAACAATGGGTTCACATTTTTGATAGGTAGATTGCAGTTTAACCAGTTGAGTTAATAATTTCAAAATAAGTAGGTTTGTAATTTTGACAATGGGTGGGTTCATAATTTCAACAGTGGATAAGTGTCATGGAGATTAATTAAAGTTTATATTTTTCTAAATTCTGGCCCAAATGGCTTGGTCGATTGAATATACACTCGCAGCTTCATTACGTTCGCTTCAGTACTACCACCTTGCCCCTTCACTTTGTAATATCTCCAATCTTCGATCACAAGGTACACTGCATTATTAGTTAGGCTTTTGAGATTTGACTACCAAATCGAACCTCTTATTTATTTAAAAATCATATGTGCTTACATCACCAATATTCCTATAGACTACAAATTAGTATTACTAATAAACTATTTAATAATGATAGACTCTTATATAGCCCTATTGTCTTGCACTATTTAACTTCATAAATGAGAACCTTATTATTAATTATTATGTTGATCATCCTATATTGAATTTGATTCCTGCACATTATACCCCAGATCATCTATCCACGTGCATTCAATAATAATCCTGACATGAGCTAGACCCTCTGGGACTTTGTCCCAAAGTTCGACCTATGTAATCCAATTTCCAACATTACAAATTTTCATATCTACTATTGAACTCCAACACAAAACCCAATTATTATGCATTAGCAACACTTATACTAATTGTACTAACTGTTATATAAATTTTTTTTTTTTTTTTTTTTTTTTTTTTTTGGTTTCAACATGCAGAAGGTCAGATAGATTGTCCTCTGAAAAAATATATTCTTCGTCGTCTGATTGTTCTTTATATACTTGACTCATTCGTTCTTCAACTATTCCATCCTCATAGTTAGGTTCATAACCATCCAGTTTCAATTTCTTTACTCAATTTTTTGTGATTGGGTCTTTCAACTTTGATCCATAAACTTCTTCAAGGTAAAATTGACCATATTTTCCAACTTCGGTTACCCTATAGAGACCAATCCATCGATAGTCCAATTTCCTAGAACACATATCCAAGTTAGAGTCATAGATCAATACCAGGTCGCCGATATCAATCTGTTCTCTTTCCCGGGACCATCTATCATGAAACTCTTTTTACTTCTATTTTAATTCATCACGACTCTTATGTGTATTCTTCAAATCACCAACCAAACCTTTTATTTGTAGGGTTCGGTACTCAAGCAACTCGTCAGTCGTTCATTAGCTTCTCAAAAAGTACATATAATAACTTTTTATTACCAATTCGATTGGCATTATTGCGTCCCTTTCATAAACCAAACGAAAAGAAAGTAGCCCAAGTCACCAACAGTTGTATTGATTGCCCAAATCGCACTTTGTACGTATTCATATCATCGATTCTGTCACTCTGCGCACACAATTTTCAGATTATTTTGGTAAACTTTTGTACCACATTCTGCATGACCGTTTGCTATGGGATGGTAGCTGGCAATGAAATGTTGATTCATGTTCAACTGAAACAATAGTTCCTTCATAATTGTATTTTTGAACTCAGTTCACCTATTTAATACTAGTGCGATAAAACATCCATGTCGCAGGATTATATCTTCCCAAATAAATTGGACAATGTTTTTAGCATTCTTTTTAACCAGAGCTCTTCCTTCAACATAGCTGGTCAAATTCTCAATCCTAGAACCACGTGCTTGTGCTTCGCCACAGTATGGGTCAAAGGCCCTATGCAATCAATGAAGACCTTCTTAAAGATTTAACTCGTCTCAGTTAAATGTATTGGTTCAGGCAGCAATTTCAAAGCACACCTTTGACATTGTTCACAGCTTGACACTATCTTTTTCACGTCTTTGTACATATTCCCTGATCCCCAAACATACTTCATCTTCACCAAAATCAAGGTTCTATTGATACCTCGATGGCCACCTTCATTCACCAATCCTTTATGACATGCTTTCATAATGTCTTGTTTGTCACGGTTTTCTGACACAACATGCCTTAGCAGGGCTCCTTTTCTCAATCTTAAGTACAGGTTATAATTGATCAAACAATATTGCTTCAATTTTCTTTTCAAACGTGATAAATCACATGCCTTCACGTAAAATCTCCAGCTCATTTGTTGCAAATAATGCTTGTCGCAGATTAAAATGAAATCTGATCAAAATGAAACTAGGGACCTCTCATACCCACCCTTAGAGCCTATAAAACCTACATATACTCATTTATTAATAAACCTAACCCTAAACCCTACCCCTAATGCTAAAAAGAACCCCAAAAAATGTCTCCCAAAAAATTTTATATTTTCCTTAAAAAACAGAAAAATTTCGTTTTGATCAGATTTCGTTTTAATTTGTGACAATGCTTTACCAAAAACAAGTCATTAATTTTCTGGCTTTCCAACCCTACTCGATACATTTGTCCTTCTACAAAGTCATCGTTGGTCAGAATTTCTTGGAAAGGTGGGTCGTGATAATGCGATATACCATTGCATTGAAATGTTTCTTGTTTGACTTATATCGTACCCGAAATTCAAACAATTGGAGCAGCAGAACCCATCTCATTAATCTGCCTTTCAATTCAACCTTATTGAACAACCATTCCAGAGCCTGATGATCCACCCATACATCAAATATGGTTCTACCAACATATTGTTCATTCATATGACAACCGAACACAATTGCCAAGCATTCTTTTTTGGTAACACTATAGTGCAGCTCATGCTTGTTCAACTTTCTTGAATCAAACGACACAGGTCTCAAATTACCTTCATCATCCTCTTGTTTGAGCACAACATCCACCAAATAATTACAAGCGTTGGTATATATATGATATGGTCTTCGTCCATCCTTTGCTGCCTGCCAATCTGGAGCTTTCAGAACAACTTCATTGCTTAATTTCTGTTTTAGCAGCTTAAATGATTCATTTTCTTTTGGTCCCCAACAGAACTTAGTATCATGCTTGGTCAAATTGGTCAGCGGTTTTGCAATTTGGCTGAAATTTTTGACAAATTGTCGATAGTAATTCAACACACCATGAAACGACCTTACTTCATTCACGTTACAAGGCACTTTCCAGTTACAAATTTTTTTGCCCCTTTTTGGATTTACCTTAATCTTTTTTTACTAACTACATATCTGTACATTTCAAGTTCATTATACAAGATATAGCACTTTTTTGCAGCAAATATCAAACCCACATTTTTGAAAACCTTAGCTAACTCAATGAACGTCTCTAAATATTCCTCCATGCTTCTATTCGTTCATATTCCAACATTATCTTGGTATGCAGCAGCAACGTTTTTCCACTTTTCTTCATCCAACAAACGATCTATTAACCTTTGGAAGGTTTCACTCACATTCGTTAGGCCTATACACACTATTGTATAATGTAATACTTTCAGAGAGGTGGTCACAGCCACTTTGTCATGATTCTTTTCCCTAATTTCTATTTGCCAATACCCTTTGAAAGCATTGACTGACAAATACCAATTATGACCAGCTACTTGTTCCAAGATGTCACAGATTATTGGCAACGGGTAGCTATCCTTGATTATATACTTGTTGAGAGGTTTCATATTACCTACGGCCCTTATTTTGTCAGTTCTGCCCTCTTTCTTCTGACTGGAAAAAAATGGTAAGCGTATTCACCTGACCTTTTTTCAAGAGGCCATACTTGACTATTTCTTTTAGGTGGTCTTTAAACAACTTCCTAGTTTCAGGGTTATTTATTCTAATTAGACATAGTCACATCGAAGGTACTATGATGTCACTAGTTCTGACCTCATATTCCACTGAATTTGTTTTGGCTATGTCTTTTAATTTGTATGCAAATATGTCACCTACTTTTGTTATCAACCATTTAATTACAAAGTTTCAGATTGGTTCGTTTCAAACCTTGAGTCCTAAATTAATTAGAACGCTATTTTCCATTGTTAGTCTCGATATAACTAGAGCATCATTTCCATGATTGAACTATCATCTCTTTCATTGTCACGATTCTAATAATTAACCCAATTACTAAATGCTAACCCATCCAAATCCTCATATTCTATGGGTTCTATTTCATGCAACTTCACTTTTCCTATTTTTCGCCTTACTCAAAACATTTAATGTCTAACCTTTATTATTTTTTACACCTAGATCTTCCACTTCGATCCTTCTCACTGCCATCATATCATCTGCATCATCTTCATAGTCACTTTCAACATTACTATCAATGTCGTCATAATCACTGGTTTGTACTTCTTTTATCCAACTTCTAGGCACTGTTGATACTACAAAAGAGGCAGTTCTTATCAGAGAAGAGATTGTACATCAGTATTTAGTACCTTTGAAATCTGCTGAAGGTGGAAATTTAAACAGACAATTAAAGTTGAATATTGCTAGGAAAATAGAATCCCAAGGTGCATTGTGCCTTAGCATTCCACAGCATACCCAACAAAACGTCAAAGCTGGCTGTTTCCATTACATAAAAGCTTTGACAGACTACAACACCTTACATTTTAACTTCTATATCAGGTAAATAGCCCACAAATTGACTAACTATATTATCAGCTATTCGACTTTTACTACATGCTTTTCCCATTCCAATCCTTTTCTCAAGACATAATTCTTCAACATGAGGTTTATATGGATCCTGGATCAATTGGGGCCTTTACTGAGTTACTATTAATTTTGACTGTCCATAAGGGTACCACTTCATTTGGCTTCAATCTATCATCCTTCAACACACCACGTAGGATCCTAATTTTTACAAATTGGTCATTAGTACTTTCTCTTTTTGTCAAGTTAGGGCCTTTATTACTTCTGAACGTACCTTGAGAGACCACTTGAACAGCTGTCCTAGAGTAAGAGTCACATATTTATCTGATAATTTCTTTAGTAGATCAAGTTCATCAGAGAGTTCAGCGAAAGGAATATACATCACGTTATCATGAGAACTTGCTTTTTCATTCATCAGTCTTGAATCTTGAATTTTTTCTCTTTTCACTGATGTTTCTACATCTTCGACTGCATCATCCTTTCTTTTTCTTTTACCAAACACCCTTATGTCACCACACTCATCTTCATCCACTAATTCTACTTTCAAGTACTTACCACCAACCATAGAACCTTTCTTAGTGAATTCTACTATACGCATATTAGCGTTATTAAACATTATGCCCTTATCAGTTTGACTTTTGCTTTTATTTCAGTTTGAACTATTCTTTACAATATGTCCTTCCTAGCCACATAGGTAACATGTACGGAACCTAACAATTTTCTGTGGAGTTTGTTTTTTACTCAGATCCTTCATGGACTTTGCCATTGCACTTTAAATCATGTTTTCAATATCAGATCAGTTCAACTTTTCTTCACGTTCGACCCGGTTAATACTCAGTGCTGCAAGCCTACTCACAATGCTATCAAGATCCACATTTGTCTTACTTGGGTATGGGATTTCCTCAGATATGTTTGATTCTTTATGTTCATTGAAAGCCTTGTCTCTATTATATTTCTCCATTTCTAACACTTTTTTTTTGCTTTTTTATAATTTTTGGGGCAGCAACTTTCAACCTTTGATTTATATAGCTTCTTTAAACCGTAAATATACCAGTCACGTTTCTTATCACTCCTAAGTTGATTCTTCACAACTTGTGCATAAGCTTCATACCAGTTGTATATTCTCTTATTGATTCTTTTTCATCTTGCTTGAGGTATTTCAATAGATTGATCTTTACTTCTATCTCGTTTTCAGCCTTTACCTTCTCTCAGGTATTGCCAGGTTTTCTTAGTTTGTATCAGACCCCTAATTCATATCCTCATACTTTTAGGCATATGCATATGTACTATCAAGCATAGGGTGTCTAATCATACTTTTTGGCTTTTCCATAGCCTTTGAAATCGAAAAAAAAGTTCTCTATATTATTGACTTCAGCACCACGGTATATAGGCACAGTCTGATCTTTGCTTCTCATTGTTGTAACCTTATTCTTTGATCTTGTTAATGTTCTTTTCTTATACCTCTAACTTTATTCTACTATCTCCACTTATGACAATACTGAATATATACTGAATGACTTCGTTCATACACCCTTTCATGGCTTGTGAAAGCATTAGTATTTGTGTTAGATACAGTCCTTGGTAGGTACGTTTCGCTTTATTTATATTGATTTATCCTTTTCATATTATTAACCAAAGTCCTTTTTTTCCCTTTTTT